AAAAAAAAAAAAAAAAAAAAAGATAAAGACCATCCTGCCAGTACCGAAACAGCCCCGTTGGGCCCAAGGCTCTGGAAGAGAATTCAAGGTTGGGGAACTGGCTTGGGGGAGGGGTGGGGAGGGCCGAAATATGTTTCTGGAAAGCAGGGATGGTGTGGGAGCTGAGCAGAATCTGCTCTTAGCAGCCCAGCAGCCCTCCTGGACTTTTTCCACTCTTCACTCTGGCTCCTGCCCCACCCAGCAGGCTGCAGAGCGGCCTGGGCAGAGGCAGGCTGGCAGTGGAAAGTTTGGGTGGAGATGTCAGAGTCGGAACCATCCCCCACCCTCTGCCTCCCAGGGCCCCGGCCTCTCTCCTCCTCCCCACACGCTCCAAGGTACCAAGCTCGGGAGCTCGGGAACATGAGCTCAGAGGGGGAGGCTGGCAGCTGCATTTTGGTGGGGAGCTGCAAGCACCCCCATTCTGCAGAGGACAAAATTGAGGCTTAGACAGGGGCTACCTTTCAGCCAAGGAAGCAGCCAGGCCCTGGGCTCCAGAGGGGTCTCTGTGCCAAGAACACGTCATGGGCACGGACAGAAAGGACAGCAGGGTGTCAGGTGATCACACCACCAGCCCAGCTCAGTTAGTTCCTGAGAATGTTCCCTTGAATGGCGGACTCCAACATTCTAACGTTATTCACCATTATAAAGAACACACTCTTGGGCTGGGCGTGGTGGCGGTGGCTCACACCTGTAATCCTAGCAGTTTGGGAGGCAGAGGTGTGCAGATCATGAGGTCAGGAGATCGAGACCATCCTGGCTAACATGGTGAAACCCTGTCTCTTCTGAAAATATAAACAATTAGCTGGGTGTGGTGGCACACGCCTGTAATCCCAGCCACTCAGGAGGCTGAGGCAGGAGAATTGCTTAAACCCGGGAAGTGGAGGTTGCAGTGAGCAGAGATTGCACCACTGCACTCCAGCCTGGGTGACAAAGAGAGACTCCATCTAAAAATAAATAATCAGCATCATCATAATAAAAATAATAAAGAAGATACTCTTGCCTGGGCAACATAGCAAGACCTCGTCACTACTAAAAATAAAATAGCTCAATGTGGGAAAACACAACTGCCTGTAATCACAGCTACTTGGGAGGCTGAGGCAGGAGAATCACTTGAGCCCAGGAGGTCAGAGGCTACAGTGAGCTATGATCACACCAGGGCTCTCCCGCCTGGGCAACAGAGTGAGACTTTGTCCACGAAACGAAAAGAAAAGACACTCCTTATATTACTTGGCGCATCCTTCAGTACCTTGCTATTGTTTCCCATGAATATCTTTCTATTTATTTCTTCACTGCAGCTGGATATGACTTCACACCCAGCCAGCCTGCAAGTCCCAGCTTGCCTTAAGTGATTGGCCAAACTATTACAGTCAATCTGTTATCAGTCTAAAAGGCTTTCCCATCACTGAGATATGCATCCTTGATGGGTTCTTATTCATTAGTTAGTGTTGCTTATCTTTCTCATCAGTTATAATATTTTTTTCTTCTTCTTTTTTTGTTTTTGACAGGGTCTGTGTTCTGCAGGTTGGAGTGCAGTGGCGCGGTCTGCAACCTCCACCTCCCGGGTTCAATGGAATCCCCTGCCTCAGCCTCCTGAGTAGCTGGGATTACAGGTACACGCTACCACACTCAGCTAATTTGTGTATTTTTAGTACGGACAGGGTTTCACCATATTGGTCAGGCTGGTCCTGAACTCCTGACCTCGTGATCCTCCCACCTCGGTCTCCCAAAGTGCTGCGATTACAAGCATGAGCCGCCGTGCCAGCCTGAAATAATATTTTCGTGAGCCTTTTTTCTTTTTTTTTTTTTTTTTGAGGTGGAGTCCTGCTTTGTTTCCCAGGCTGGAGTGCAGTGGTGCCATCTCAGCTCCCTGAAACCTCTGCCTTCCAGGTTCAAGTGATTCTCCTGCTTCAGCCTCCTGAGTAGCTGGGATTACAGGTGCCTGCCACCATGCCCGGCTAATATTTATATTTTTAGTAGAGACGCAGTTTCACCATGTTGGCCAGGCTGGCCTTGAACTCCTGACTTCAGGTGATCCAGCTGCCTCAGCCTCCCAAAGTGCTGGGATTACAGGTGTGAGCCACTGTGCTCGGCTGCTTTTTTTCAATTTTAAATAGTTAATATAGACTGGATGTGATGGTGCACACCTGTAGTCCCAGCTACTTGAGAGGTTGAGGCAGGAGAATCGCTTGAACCTGGGAAGCGGCGATTGCAGTGAACTGAGTTCGTGCCATTGCACTCCAGCCTGGGCAACAAGAACAAGACTTAGTCTCAAAAAATATCTAATAATAATAGTAGTAATAATAATAACAAATATATGTATTTCTCAATAGTTTTTCTATCAAGGTATCCTTCCCATAAAATAAAAGATGCAGATATTAAAGGTATAGTTCACTGATTTTGAGAAATGTGGAGACCTATCTAACCACCTCCTCAATTAAGTTTCCTGGAGTCCAGGAAATAGTGGCCTCTCCTCTTGTTCCAGGAAGCCACTGGCCATTGTCACTCCTGACCTTTTTTGAGATGGGGTCTCACTCGGTCACCCAGGGTGGAGTGTAATGGTATAATCTCTGCCCACTGCAGCCTCAGCCTTCCAAGCTAAAACCTCCTGGGCTCAAGCAATCCTCCCATTTCAGCCTCCCAAGTAGCTGGGGCTACAGACACATGCCACCACGCCTGACTAATTGTTTGTGTGGTTTTTGTAGACATAGGGTTTTACCCTGTTGCTCAGGCTGGTCTTGAATTCCTGGAGTCAAGCGATCTGTCTGCTTCAGCCTCCCAAAGTGCTGGGATTACAGGTGTGAGCCACTGTCCCTGGCCACTCCTGAGCATTGAATAGCCACCAAAGTTCATTTGTCTCAAAATAAAGAAGGGGGAGTAGACTGATTTTTCTGACTTTATGCCTCTTTTAGGAAATAATTTAGATGAAAAGTAGTTAATTGCACACCAGGTGGCTGTAGAGATTTGAAATTCAGGCTCCGTGAATATCATTGTGTTGGTGACATTTTGGTTATTTTTTGTACACAGTGAAGGTAATTCAGGGGCTGCTTTTTGTAAATCAACATTGTGATGATGAAAATGACACTTAGAAATCTCATTTTGTTCTTGGCCAGGTGCGGTGGCTCACACCTGTAATCTCAACACTTTGGGAGGCCAAGGTGAGTGGATCACCTGAGGTCAGGAGTTCGAGACCAGCCTGGCCAACATGGTGAAACCCTGTCTCTACTAAAAATACAAAAAAAAAAAAGAAAAGAAAAGAAAAGAAAAAATAGCTGGGCATGGTGGTGCATGCCTGTGATCTCAGCTACTCAGGAGGCTGAGGAGGGAGGATCACTTGAACCCAGGAGACGGAGGTTGTTGTGAGCCGAGATCACACCACTATGCTCTAACCTGGGTGACAGAGCAAGACTCCATCCCAAAAACAAACCAACAAACAATCCAGAAATCTCACTTTCACTTTGTTCTTAAGCTTTTATGCCCATTGGAAATCTTACAACTCTATTTTTATAAACATAATAAATATTAATAGAACAATCCAATGGTTTTTAAGAAAAAGCCTGTTCTCTAGTGTTCAGTTCCATTTATAAATCTAGTTAATTATACTCTCTCTTAAATATTTAAAACTGAATGCATAATTTTACAGGTTATTCATTTTTCAGTGTTTCAATTGCTCTATAAACTCTTCCAAGTAATTCCTGTAAATTTCCAAGTGATTCTTGTAAATGTCAATGCTTACACGGTAAAATACATGTTTGGCTTTTTCTTCTTCCTTCTTTTCCTTCCTTGGCTGAACAATTCGGCCCTAAAGCCATTATGTGGGGCTGAGCAAGGTCATGGTGGCCCTGAATGGGCTGACTGGGGCAGGACGTCCTTGGGGGAGGTGTTTGGGGGTCAGGGCTGAGCAGGTGAGGAGGACTGAGCAGAGGCTGCCTGGAAGCGCCCAGTGGGGTGAGTAGGGCCAGCAGGACACGTGGGAGGGAGCCTGAGCTCCCAGCAGGGGAGGAGGTCGCTTGTGTGGGGTAGGTGCCCACTGAGGGGCATTGGACCTGGCCTTCGGGGGAGGTGCCGCATGAGAGTCCGGGATGAGGACTGGAACTGCTTTCTTTCTCAGGGAGGGAGTTACAGATACAAAAAGGTAGAGGCAGGCTTCAGCCCCGTGGAGCTGGACTGAAAGTGGAGGCATTAGTGTGAGGATGGTTTGAGGAGTGGGTTATTTGGTGGGGCAGGTTTGGACTCTTTATTATTTATTTGTTTACTTACTTACTAATTGAGATGGAGTCTCGCTCTGTCGCCAGACTAGGGTACAGTGGCACAATCTCGGCTCACTGGAACCTCCGATTCCTGGGTTCAAGCCATTCTCCTGCCTCAGCCTCAGCCTCCTGAGTAGCTAACAGTCACCCGCCACCATACCCAGCTAATTTTTGTATTTTTAGTAGAGATGGGATTTCTCCGTGTTGGTCAGGCTGGTCTCGAACTCCTGACTTCATCATCCACCCACCTCAGCCTCCCAAAATGCTGGGATTACAGGTTTGAGCCACCACGCCCATCCTTTTCTTTCCTTTTTGAGACAGGGTCTCACTGTCATTCAGGATGGAGCGCAGTGGTCCGATCTTGGCTCACTGCAGGCTCCACTTCCCAGGCTCAAGCAATCCTCCCATATCAGCCTCCTGAGTAGCTGAGACCAGAGGCCTGCACCAACATGCCTGGCTAATTTTTTTATTTTTCAGAGACAGGGTCTCACTATGTTAGCCAGACTGGTCTTTAACTCCTGGGCTCAAGCAATCCTCCTGCCTTAGCCCCCCAAAATGTTGGGATTATACCCCGCCCCACCTCTTTTTAAAAAAATATGATAAAATATATATAGTCTGGGCACAGTGGCTCCTGCCTGTAATCCCAGCACTTTGGGAGGCTGAGGCGGGTGAATCACTGCACTCCAGCCTGGGTGACAGAGCCAGACTCCGTCTCAAAAAAAAAAATTTATTTTATGGTGAGGCCCAGCAGATACCCAAGTGATTCATCTCAATGTCACCAGTAAGGAGACATGGGGAAATT